GCCTGAGACTGAGATTAAGGACAGTGGACTAATTAATCTGGCAGAAGAAACCTCAAGCCAATCGAATGTTGAGGCAGTGGCATGGTTAGCATTGGGGGCTTTTAGCCAGATCTATGTTAATAACCAAGAGCAAAGAGCCCAGTAGAATGACTTAAAATGTTACGAGTGGCTAGAAAGAAAGCTCAAGTAAAGCTGTGAACTGAGAAGATAGAGAAGAGGGGACCTTGATTGCTCAGAAAAGAATAGAAATGATGGCCTGATGACATCACAGAAAGCAGCCTACCTTTGCAGCCTCAAAATTGAAAAGTGAAAGACTTTGCTTTGAGAAGAGAGTTCCAGAACACCACGTTTCAAAATGGTGGTGGCCTAAAAAATTTGTTCCTTGGAATTGGATTCACAGTGCTCTGTAACCCAAGCACTTGACCCCTATAGCCATGGGAGAGGGAAGCCTGCTGGCAGCAGACCTGGGCATCGTCCACATGGTGCCAGGTTTTGGTATATATGGAATGGAAGAGTGGTGGGATCAGAAAGGCTTGCACCCAAATTTCAGAAGGCCTGGGAAGCAAGGTGGTGTGCCCCTGACAGGGCAGTGTCTAAAGCTGAGAATGTGAAGCCAAAGGAATCCCCAGAAGATTGGAAAAACCAGGAACATGGATTGTCTGAGGAAAGCTGCAAGGAGGGAGCAGAGCAGGCAATATAGAGAAGCCATGGGAGCTCCAACCACTGGAAGTGCTATAGGGGCAGAGCCACCCAAGCCCTTTGGAGTTATATCTTGTCACAGATTGCCTCAGATGCTGCACATGGAACTATAGGACTTAATGTTTGCTCTGATGGATTTTGGATTTGCTTTGGTGACATTACTTTGTATCTCCATTTATAATGTTTGGAATGGAAATGTCTATCTAGTGCAATTGAATGTCAGAAGTGTTTAAGTTTCTTTTCATTTGCACAGGAGCTCACAACTAAGAGTTTGTCTTAAATATCAGTGGAGACTTTTGGACTTTTCAGCAATGATAAAACTGTTAAGACTCTGGCAACTCTTGGAGGTATACTAAATGCCTTTTGCATAGAGGGCTATACATGAATCTTGGGGGTGGCAAGGCAGAATGTTATGGCTTGTGTCTGGATGATTCCCCCCACTCAGACTCAGGGGGTCATAAGGTTTTCTCAGAGGTGGCCGAATCTAGAATATATGATTTGGGATTAAAGGTACTGGGAGTAAAAGTTGGTGATTACTGGATCATTGCATTGCTTGGACTGCCACTGCCCTAATCCTGTGGACTCCACACAATGTAAGGGATAGAGCAGGCTCATCTGGTTCTCTTTTGTTGCTTTTTCTGTCTTCTGCTGCTAGGAACTTTTGCCCTTTGTCATGTGCTACCTTGCCTTAGAGCCAGCTGATCATGGACTGAAACCTTTACAAACTGTGAGCTAAACAAACTATTTCCCCTTTAACTTTGGGTGTTAGCTATTTTGTCTCAGCAACAAGAAAAGTAACTAAGACAGTATGTGTAATAGAAAACTATATGAAAGAAGGATGGTAGATGAAATGAGCATCAGAGACCTAGGACTTCAACCAGGCCAGGTCTGGAAATCAAGCCAAATCCAGAAAAGAGCACAATCACACAGGATGCCTTTGAACTCCCAGCAGCACTCCCCTCATCCCTGAGTCATACCTCAAGAATCCTGTGCTAACAAACTTTTGGGACTGGGAATGCTCAAAAGCATTCTTCTTGATTCGCCTAAGAAATCTCAGACTCAGGTAGAGAAATGCATCATTTTCCAAACTGTGCTTAGAACACTACGGATAATTTCTTCAATTCCTACAAAAATCTCCAAAGACCAGTGTCATCTTATTTTTACTGGCTGATGTTAAGAGACATTAACTTACTTTGATGACTGCCTGATCTTCACTAGAGATCAAGTGTCCCCAGCAGTAGCCCACTGCACAGCACTAATGGTTGCAAATTAGCATTGATTTGGCGAATGAAAACATACTACTTTATTTGGCAATCTTAGCTGGATTAAAAGCCCTTCCCCTTTTGATAGTGGCAATTTGGTAGATACTTTCAACTTTTAAAAAGTGAAAAAAAAATAAATCTCCTCACTATACAGTGAGACCCTGACTTAAAACAAAACAGGGTCTTGCTCATGCCTGGCAAGTGCTATACTGCCGAGTTGCATCCCCAACTCTTTATATTTTACACCAGGATAGAGCCTCCCTAAATTGCCCAGACTGGCCTTGCACCTTCAGCCTTCTTGTTTCAGCTTCTTCAGTAGCTGGAATTAGGGGCATATGTCACCACAATCAGCATGGGGGTCTTTAAAAATATAGTGAGTTAAATTGAAAAGAAACAAAGAAAAGAGGTGAACTTTAAAGTGTTGAACCCAGAAAACAAATTATGGAAATGGAAAAGGGCTAAAGAATCATCCTAATGAAGACCACAAAGAGATGAAAATACATATAAGAGCAGGAAGGAGACAAAGAGGACAGATCAAGAAATGGCAGTACATTTCACAGGAACTCCAGACAAAGACGGTTGAGGAAAGGGTAGAGAAACCATATTTGAAGATGTAATAGTAAAAGAGACAGACATTGGTGGTTCCACCTGTAATCCCAGCACTTAGGACACGAGACAGGAGAGTCATGGCATGTTGAGGCCAGTTGGGACTACAGAGGAAGACCTTATCTCAAATAAAAACAAAACCAGAAAACAAAGAGAGAAAGACAGACATGTTTAATTCAAATGGGATGTCAACAGAGCTGTGGCAAACAGTGAATTACAGAGTCAGGAAGAGAAGGGAAAAAAGCATGTAGGACTGAAACAAGCCCAAGCCTGGGGACTTCACAGAGTGTCATTCCGCAGGATAGGAGGCAAAGTCAGGAGGAGCACAGAGAACAGTGGTGGGTTCAACAGCGCTGAGGTTTTGGGTAGTTCTAGTCGATTCTTGGTTCTAGAACAGATGGAAGAAGAATTAACATGATCTTAAGGAGACTGAGTGGAGACAGAATTTAATCACCTTTAAAAAATGGAAAAATTTCACTGAAAGTTCATGTAAGCAAATAAGTCGTCCTCACTGCTTTGATGACTAGGGTCAGGAAGAGATGGGGCCCCACTGGAGTAAACCCTATACAGTGCCAATCCATCAGCAAATGAAATCACCACGTTCATTTTGAAAAGCAGAACTGAAGTGCACTGTACCAGGCATTAGTGTTTATCAAGAAATATGGTCACTGTGGCGCACACCTGCAGTCCTAGCTACTCAGGAGACTGAGGCAGGAGAAACAAAGGTTCAAGGCTGCCCTGAGTAATTTAGAAAGAACCTGCCTCAGTCTGGGAATATAACTCAGTGGCACAAGTGCCAGCGCAAGGTCCTGAGTTTAATTTCTGGCACCAAAAAAAAATAAAAGGAAAAAGAAAAAAAAAAAGAAAGCTATGGTGGAGGAAGAGAGAGAGACAGAGAGACAAAGAGAAAGAGAGAGAGAGACACACACACACACACACACACACACAGACAGACACAGAGACACAGACAGAGACAGAAAGATAAAGAAGGGAAGGGAAGTTAGGTATGTAGCTCAGTTGAAAGTTCTAAATTCAATTTCCAATGCTTAAAAATATTAGAAATAATATAAAAACATACTTTCCCCCTTTTGTAGGACAGAGGATTAAACCACAAACATGCTAGGTGAGCACCTTGCATTGAGCTATATCCCCAGCTCTTTTTTTTGGTTTTGTTTTTGGCAACAGGTATCAAACTCAGGACCTTGCACCAGGACCAGGCAGGTGCCTAAACAACTGAGCTATCTCCCCAGCCCTCCCAGCCCTTTTCATGTTTAATTTGAGACGCAATCTCATTAGATTGTCTAGGCTAGCCTCAAACTTGCAATCCTCCTGCCTCAGCTTCCCAAGTAGCTAGGGGTACAGGAATGTGCCACCATACTTGACAGAAGTATGGTCGTTATTTCTTACATATTGAGAATTCATCGCAATCACCATCTCATGGAAAGACACAGGATGAATGGGCTAATGTGAGTTTCAGCAGTTCCATGGCATTAGTGTCCTGCATGTCCCGGTGTGTGTGGAGGGTGGAGCGAAGGGTCAGGATGACCTGTTAGCTTCACAGATCTGACAAGAGAGGCTGGGGAGAATGGAAAAGGAGAATGGTGAGAAGGGAAGAGATCTAGTTGGAGAAATATTTAGGAGAGAGTGTGTGAGGCCTCAAACTCTGTGTGAAGGTGGTGGGTTGGGCAGGAGGCAAGAGAAAGAGAAAAACCAAAGACGACCTCAGGGGGTCACACCAGACAATGGTGGCATGCTGGGCTCATTGGCAGTAGGTTTAGTGGTCTCTGGGACAGACAAGCAAACATCTGGAAAATAGGACTGAGTTTGGCCGCATTTGAAGTAGGTGTTTTAAGGAGGTTTTTTTCTTTTTTATGTATTTGGTACAGGGTCTCACTACACAGATCAGACTCATAGTGATCCTACTGTTTTCAGTCTACCCAATGCTGGGATTACAGGTGCTTACCACCACGCCTGGACACAGTGGCTGGCTTTGTGCGCCCAGGAGCAGGGCCGGGGTGGCATGTGGTGCTGGGGATCAAACCCCTGTCCCTGTGCTTGCCTAAGCAGGCGCTTCATCTGCTGAGATATCTCTCTGGTCCTTCAAGGAGTTTTTGAAGTCATGGAAATAGATGGAATTCCTGCAGCAGATGCAGGGTCAGGGAGGGTGGACAGACAGGAGCGCAGCACTCCCGGGGTAGCCAATGGCTGGAGATGGGCTTTGGTGGGATTGTGAGGACCTAGGGGGCAAGCAGAGGTTGCAGGAAGCTGCAGAGGCTGACATGAAGAGAGCCTGCCCATGCTGGAGCGTTCTGGGCCAGAGGCTGGGGCACCCAAGGGACCTCCAAAGGTAGGGAGGAGGGACGGAAGGTCAAAGCAGGAAGGAGACTGTTCTGTCTTGCATCCACATGTGCAGAACAATCTGTCTCCTCTCACCTTCACATTCATTGCATGTTGGATGGCATCTCTCACAGGTCTGTGTGCTCTGCTCTGCGTAGTAATGCTCTGGGCAGGCGCGGTGACACTCTCCCTTGGAGCGGAGAAGGAAGAAATACGGATCGCAGGACAGGCAGTCTGTGGAGTGGGGGCCCTGGCAGTCCTTGCAGCTCTTGTCACACTTCTCACACTTCCCAGTGGAATTGTCTGCATAATACCTGAAACCAGGAGGGTGTAAAGACAGAGCACAGTCACCCCTCTGTCTGCAAGGACCGTCCTGTGGACACCAAGGCACATGGATGCTCAAGTCTCTTGTGTAGCACGGGGCAGTGTTTGCACATCAGCTGCCTATGTCCTCCCTTATATTTCAGATCACTTCTGGATTACTTACAGAGTCTAATGCAGTATAAATGCTATGTGTATACTGCTTGTGCTACACTATTTCAGAGACACACTTTTCTGTGCATTCTTATTTGAGACAAGGTGTTGCTTTATGGTCCACATCAGCCTAGAACTCACTATGTATTCCAGGTTGGCCTCAAGTCACGATCCTCTTGCCTCAGCTCCCAAGTGCTGGGGTTATAGGTGAGTGCCGGTGTACCCAGGTGGGTACACCGGCACTCACCAAGGTGGAGGACCAGCTATCCTAAGTGTTGCAGAAACATCTCTGGTCAGGTTGGAGTCACTCCAACAAGTTGCATGATGTTAGCCTCTTTATTAAATTTACTTATTTAATTCATCATCATGATATTAACAAATCTACTGATAATCACTTTTATTATCTATCAATTGGGCGTCATAAACTTTCCCTCTCTATTTGTAAGAATTACATCGCATGATGCCTACGAAAAGTCCTACCAGGCTAGGTGCTAGGGTGCATGCCTGTAATCCCAGCATTTGGGAGACTGAGGCAGAAGGATCACGAGCCCAAGGCCAGGTTGGGCCCATGAGTTCAAGCCAGCTTGGACTACGTAGGGAGACCTAGCCTCAAACAACATAAAACAAAACAACTAAAAAGAAAGAAAAGACCTAGCAATGGTCACACACAGTAGTGCACTGTTGGCTTGATCACTGTGAGGTAACTTCACCTTTTCCCCCATTTGCCTCTCCAAATTCAAGCTTTGAGCTGGGATGCGGAGAGGAAGATGCTTTAAAGGCACCTATGTTAGTCCCTTTCTTGTCATGGGACAAATACCAGAAACAACTTAAAGGAGTGGGAGTGGTTTATTCTGGCTCCTGTTCATAGTCACAGGTCAAAGGCTCTGAGGCAGAAAACAGCTCGGCACATGAGCACAGGGGCAGAAGGGCTGCTCACCGGCTGGTACCCAGGAAGTAGAGCCAGTGAGGGGGGGACCTGGAAGGGAGATGAGCCTTCCAGGTCATGCCCTACTGACCTGCCTTGTCCAGCCAACACCCCCAAGCATCGCATGTAGCCTCATGATCCTTATTTGTAATATAGGACTGATATTAGTACCTAAAGTTAGACATGTCCATGTGTGTCAGTGGTGATTATGAATGACATGATTAACCCTCAGCAAATCTCGTAATTTTGATATTGTTATCCCTGTTTTACAGGTGCAAAAACTGAGGGTCTATGAATTTAGGCAATTGGCTCATGGTCAAACAACTTGAGGACAAATTCAAAATTCAAATTTACCTGTTAAACATCATCATATCAAAACAATACATTGTTTGAAAGTAAGGAGGTGCTTTGTAACTAAGATAAAAGTGGGGAAGAAAATTCTCACTGGACGTGAGCCAGTAGGTGTTGTCTGGCTCATGTGGATCTCTGGATGTCACCACATCCTAGAGCAATCCTAGAAACCTCACAGGTCACCCTGAAATTCTCCATCCAAAATAACCAGCCCACAGCCTGTATTTTTAGGTCTAATGCAGCACCTTGAACTTGCACTCTGCCATGCCTAGGTAACGCTGAGCCCGCCTCCTCTGGGCACAAGTCGCTGGTCCTGGCGGCCTGGTTTGTAGCACACTAAGCCCTGACTCACTTTCTGTAGTTAGCGGAGAGTGAATGCTTCTGAGAGGCAGCCAGAAGACTGGGGCTGAGAAACAACGTGGTGCCAAGAGGCTTCAACCACAAGCTGAATAGTTGGGAAGGATCACATAAAAGCTGGGCCTGGTGGCACACCCTGTAACTCCAGCACTCCAGAGGCTGAGGCAGGAAGAGCCACAAGTTCGAGCATACACAGTGAGTTCAAAGTTGGACTGAATTACATAGTGAGAGTCTGTTTCAAAAACAAAATAAAAAAAAGACCAACTAAGACTCAAGAAGAGAAAACAGGGAAAACTGAAAACATACATAAAACAGGGACTGCACAGGACTAGAATTAAAAAAAAAAATCAGATTTTTAGTCTTGTCTTCACCATGTGTTGGTAGCTAAATGATTCTGGGCAAGTTGATTAACACCTCTCTGAGCCTCAGTTTCCTTATCTGTAAACTGGAGAGACCAAAGAAGAGGATGCTGTTGAGTTGTAGAGCACTCGCTCAGCCCACACAGTGCCCTGGGTTCAAGACCCAGCACTGAAAGAGATAAAACAAAACAACAAAACATCAAGACACTAACATCAACCTCGTGAGATCATTGTAGAATCAAATCCCACTGTAAAGATATACCGCAAGTAGAAATGTTTTGTAAACTCTATTGCAAAGATGGAAAGCATTAATAGAAACCAGGGGGGGGAAACTTAGCAATCTTTTGTGAGTTGTAAAAATTTTCAAAGAGTAATTTTAGCAGAAAGACAATGAGAAGTTCGCCAGATCAGACTAAGAAAAGAGAAGAGCCCATCTTCACTGTGTACCACAACTTTTTTGCATGAGGACACTGTCAGATTTCATGAACTTCCTGCCTTGAAGAAAAACCTGTGCACAAAGACAGACAGAAAGCTGTGTCTTTGGAAACACTGTGTGGGTTAAACTCATAAGTAATCACGTGTGTTGGTGTGGGATTCAGAGAACCATGCGCCCGCGGTGGAAGGCAGAGATGTCATCCGTGAAGCTTATCCGCTGCCGGTGGAACACTGGTTTCACTAAAGAGATGACTTTCTACTCGTACACCAGTATATCATCATGAATGCTCCCCAGTGTGGAGATCTGGGGCAACCTGTACCTCTTCTAGGTCCTCTGGGTCACTTGACACGTGGGAACAGTGGATCAGTGGTCTTAGATCCATAGCACTCCATGCAGGTATATGTAGATCCCCACTCCTCCTCTCGCCTCTTCCTTCTTTTCTTCCTTCCTTCCTTCCTTCCTTCCTTCCTTCCTTCCTTCCTTCCTTCCTTCCTTCCTTCCTTCCTCTGTTTAATGGCTTGATAGGAAGAAGGTGAAGATGGGCCCTGGTCTTTCCAGACACTTACTTGGGTGTCTGAGAGCTAAGAGGTAAGCTAGTCCACCCACCTCTGCTCCTGTTTGGCAGAGCCCTTTCTTCATTGATCTGCACGGTGTTTTCAAGAGCCGCTAATGTGTGTGGCTCTGTGCTGAGCGCATAACAGCCTGTGTGACAAACAGGAGCTGTTTCACTTCCAGAGCTTCTAATTTTCCTGGGACAATATATAGGTTTAAACTCCTGAGGGTCAAAATCTTTGTCTTAACTTACCTTATTCTTTAATTGATATTTTTTCTTATTTACTTAATATAGATCAAAAGGAGCAAATATGGTTACCAATTTTTGTCCCATATCTTCCTCCACTTTAACCCTGTCATTTTTATTTTTCTCCATTACATGCATTCAAACACAATTTCTCTGCCATGAAATACAGCCCCTGGTTTTCTTAGTTCGCTATTTCTTAGAGGAACGATCTCCGATAGTGTTCTCTGTTCTCACACTGCTCTCCCTACCTCTAAGGGTCACATTATGAGTTGTTTTATTAAACGTTTTACAGTTCATCAGGCCATGATTAATAATCAGTAGATTATTAATTATTAATAAATAATTAATAATGAATTAGAGTTTGATCTAAATAGTTTTTTCTTTCAGTTTTTCTCACCATGTAGTGCAGGCTGGCCGCAAAGTCACAGCAAATTTCTTGCCTAACCTCCTCAGTGCTGCAATTACAGACATGTACTATTCTACTGTTCTACACAGTACATTTTAACATTGTTTCAAGTGTGTGGTACTTGTCATTTCCTTTTTTTTATTTACAAAAATATTTTTAATGAAATGCTAAATATTTCTATAAGTTATAATTTACATTACATACTTTATTTTTTTATTTTTTGGCGGAACCGGGAATTGAACTCAGGCTCTCCTGCTTGCCAGGTAAGGGGTTACTCTACTGAGCCATCTCCCTGGCCCCTACATTACATACTTTAAAGACAATGCATTTTTAGGGGGCTACTGTGTGCATCTTAAATGTCTCCCAACGCAGAAGCAGCCTTGGCCCTAAGAGGCCTGTAGAAGGCTGGCGCTCCTGAGGTGGCAAGGAGCAGCAGGCAGGGCCGCTCAGGTCTCCGGCTTCAGCCTCCGATGTCGTGCTTCCTTTTGCCTGTGGAGGGAGAAGCCCCGGCAGAAGCCAGGCATTGCTGCCTAGTCCTCCTGCTCCTGCGTAGGGTTTTGGTCCTCCAGACCTACTCATTTCTGTCCATCTTGCTGAACTCGTCTGCTGACTCCAAAATCCTTGGTGACTCCACCCAGTCCACGTGAGAGAGTGAGAGCTCTTGGGGGCTGGGGGTGGACCATCGCGGGCCCTGATCGCCCCACCAGGTTCTTTCCTCACGTTGGGTCTCGCTTCCTGCTGTGTGAACTCCTGCCACTCCTTGAACCCAGGCCTGCTGGGGCACCGTGATTTTCACTGGTGAAGTCCTTTAATTTCTGTTCTTTCCATTTTATAAAATCTGTAATTTAGGATCTGTCATCCTTCCCCCTTTTAGCCCCTCCTTCTACGCATTCTGGGTTCCTTTCTTCCTTCTTTCTTTCTTTTTTGGGTATTTTTAGTAAGGGTCTGTTATGGGTTGTGTCTAGTTGTCCCCGCAAAGCCTCATGCAGTCATGGGGTGAGGACTTCTAGAGTTTGTGTTAACTCATGATCCACTGGGATTATGTGTGATCCAAGGCTGGGATTATGGGTCTTAGTACTGCTGGGATTACCCATAACTGGGTAAGTACTGGGAAGTACCCATAGGTGTGAGTACTTCCCCTACCCTGGGGCAGGTAATTTGCATTACAATGTAAGGTGGGAAGAGAAGCCAGCGGTTTGAGCTGCTGCTACTTCTCCCTTGCTCTCTTGCTCTTTGCCGCCGCCATGAAAGGTTGCCCTCTGCTATGTGCTGCTCTGCATTGGACCCAGCTGAGTATGGACCGAAACCTCCAGTAACTGTGAGCTAAATAAACCTTTCCTTCCTTCATTGTGAGTGTCGGGTATTTGTCCCAGCAATGAGAGAAGAGTAACTAAGACAGGGTCTATAGGGACTATGGGGTCTCACTACATAGATCGGACTCGTAGTGATCCTCCTGTTTTCAGCCTCCCAAGAGCTGGGATTTCAGGTATGTTCCACCACACCCAGTCTCAATAGCTGTCTCAGCGCGCCCCATGGAGCAGGGCCAGCCCGGCACACCAGAGATGGAACCCGGGCTGGCCCCTGCGTCTGCCTAAGCATGCGCTTTACCTAGCTGAGCTATTTGGCCGGCCCCTAACTGTCTCTTTCACGTGTTCTTGGACATAGAACTCGCTTCCCTCTTCCTCCATTGTGCTTCTGTTGCTGATTCTCTGGTCTCTGGTCCCACCACATAGTGCTTCTCCCATCCTGCAAGGTCTCCTGCATAACCTTTCTCGCCCCCAAGGCTTTTTATTTTTTTCCGGAACTGGGGATTGAACTCAGGCCCCTGCGCTAGCCAGGCAAGCGCTTATTCCACGGAGCCATCTCCCCGGCCCTTGTCATTTCCTACTTTGAACAAGTGCCTTGCGATCAACTACCTAACTCATATACTGTGTTTACAATATTCTTTTGAATTATGTAACATATACCAATACAAAGACATCATTAAATCATGATAAACACAAGAGGAAACAAACAAAAAACCAAACATAGAAGGTGCTCTTAATCAAAATACATATTCATTAAATTAATGAATAAATAAATGACATAAGATGCAAACCAGCTTACTGCACTATAATGAATGAGCCAAGCTGAGCTTGCTCTAGGGCTGAGGACAGCAGATACGCCAACTGGGGGTGAAACCTTTTATAGAAAGTTTAAGGTTCTGACCCCTCAATTTGGGTCTGGAAGCTCTCAGGGCCCTGGGTTACTTGTTGGGAAGGAGGAGCTAGCATTATGTCTACAATCAGGATTTCTTCCTCCCGTGATTTCCACAGGGGAAAAAAGCAGTGACTCCAGTCAAATTCTCTTCTAAATATGCGATAACCAGATATCCTGATGCACACACCAGCAGTTTTTCCTAGCAGACAATGCTAAGTGCTTTCAGGATAATCGTGTATATCTATGCTGCTTATGAACACTATACCTATAATCTGTGGATTCATGGCAGGTGTGATGTGTTGGAGATTGATGGGATATAAATGGAGCTGTTAACCGAAATGGTTCCCTTTGTAACATCAATGTTCCATGTGCATTGCTTAGATGGGCCTTGCAGATTGAATCTGAATTGGAGCAAATGCTAAAGCTGAAGAGAAAGGACCTCCACGAATATTCTTGGGCTGCTCGGGAGAGGGAGGCAATGACTCTGCTTTGGAATTGCTGGTACTCTGAGTTAGCAGGGAGGCTGGGCACTGACTGAGACCCATTACTCAGGCCAGTCTGATTTGGACTCTGACTGCTCTCTCCCAGAGTCGCTCTACCTCTCCCATTTTACTTCTATTATTGTGAACTGGTTCATCTTTGCTCCGCCTTAGCAGTAAGATTTTAATCTCACTGCATTCATGCCTGGCTGCTAGTTCACACATCTGCTGCAGGGGATGGTGTCCGGGGCGGGGCAGCTGCAGAATTTGAAGCAGGCAACTGTGCTGAATGTCTTACCCTTCTCTGCACTGGAGCAGGCACTCTCTGCCCAGTTGGAACCAGCCTGCTCGGCAGGAGAGGCACTGCATGCTGTGTGTGCCATCACAGGTCCGGCAAGAGCCATGGCAGGGGGTGCACCAGTGTCTGTCCTCATCGGTGAAGTAACCTTCTGGACAGCTGTCCACGCAGGTGGTGTCTGCAAGGGAAGAGAAGAGCCTGTCTCGATACCCAGCTTGGCCTTCATGCCGGAGAAAGGAAGTGTGTGAGGAATGGACGATGGGTCTGTGGGCCGATGGATATGCTGGGGGTGGGGATGAAAGCCTGGGAAATAGAATCAGCCAAATGGCTGCTGAGTAGAGGTGGACAGAGCCGCAGGCTGGCCATGGTGGACTGGACCGTGGCTCACCCTCAGCTGATATGTCTGACTCCGGAGGGGAAGGAAGTCCCAGCTCTGTACAGACATCTCTGTAGGAGTAATCTGATGGCTTGAAACACACACATCTATTTTTTTACTGTTGTGGAGACCAAGAATCTAAAGTGGATCCACAAGAGAATCTGTTTCCAGAATTTTTCACCTTCCAGAGGGTGCCTGCATGCACAGCCCCCTCCTCCATCTTCGAAGGCAGCAGCGTCTCTCTGTCCTTCTCCCCTGTCATTGCATCATCCTGTCTTACTAACTCTGATCTCCTGCACTTTCTTATCAGACCCTTGTGATTATGTTGGGCCCATTGAGGTAATCAAGGATCATCCCTTCATGCCAATCTCAGCCTCAAAGCCCCTTTTACCACCCAGAGTAATATCTCTGCAAGACAGGGGAAGGAGAAATTATTCATCTTCAGGGTTACACAGTCTATCATAAACTCCAACATACTGTTTAGCTTTAAGTAGCCTGACTGGTGACATGGCCATGCGGGGCAGAGAGTGAGAAGCCCAGGGCTAGGCAGACACTGCAGCCAGCCTCTAGGGACACCTACCTCTCTGTGTGACACTCCAGAGCTGAAGTGTCAGTTCTAGTTTAATTTGCATGTGCCCCTGTCTCTATTTATAGGAAGCACCCCTTATAGTGAAGACATTTCTTCCTTTCCATGTGAATGTAGCAGAAAATGCCCACCCCATTACACTTCAGCTTTTGTTAGTTGCCCAGGTTACAGTTCCTGTTACACTTCCTGTTGCTTCTGTTTCTCAGAAATGACTGGTCACTGTGAGGCACAGCTGGCCAGTGTGATGCATATTGTAAGAATCAATCAAAGACAGCCAAGTACTCTACCTCTGTACTTTCCCTTTGCAACCTCATAAAAATCTCTTTCCCTGAGCCTTTGGGGCCTGACATTTTTTTTCTTGAGGCAAGTGTCCATCAATGTAAATAAATCTGCCTCCAAATCTTGGGTGATGTTTCAGTGTTTCTGTTTGCCACAGCATGAAGGCATCTGAGGTGACACCTGGTGGTGTTCTCTACTGGGGATAATTAGCAAGGAAGGTCCTGTGGGGTAGGATGATAGGGGAGATTTGACTGGATGAAATATTTTCATGAAGAAGCAACTTCTAGAGGAGGTTCATGGGGCTTTGTGTAAGAGGAGCTAAGGCAGATTAATATGAAAGCTGGTGTGTTCTGGTGTGTTCTGGTGTGGGGGCTCAGTGGTGGGTGTCTCTGTGTCTCCTCAGAAGAACAAGGCCCTTGCTGATGTTATCTCAGGAAGAAGAGGAAAATCTTGCCACATATTTCTTTTTTCAAAAAACTGTATTTAGTATGGAGTCCACAGGGTCTCACTATGAAGATCTAATTTATAGCGATTCTCCTGTTTTCAGCCTCCCAGATGCTGGATAACAGGCTCGCACCACCACTCCCAGTCCCAGTCGCTGTCTCAGCATGCCCCGGGGGCAGAGCCAGCATGACACACTGGGGATCAAAGCCCGGCCACTGTGCTCTGCCTAAGCAGGTGCTCTAGTCCACTGAGCTATCTGGCTGGCCCTGCCACATGTTTCACGCTTGAACGTTTCACTTCTCATGGCGGCCCTGGTGCCTGGGGACAAGCTACACATGTTCTGGTCCTTCTCACATTTCTCCTTCTTTTCTTCCCGGCCTCTCCCGGCACTGAGTTGCGTTTCACTTTGCTTCTCTCTCCCTTGCTCCTCTTGAGCCTGGTCATGCTGTCCCTGAAAAGCGAGGACATCGGTTCATCCTAGCAGCCACCTCCAGAACAGATCTGCGGACTGCAGCTGACCTGGGGCTGTGCCACACAATGTCCAACAAGAATTACTGAGCACGGCATGCCAAATCGAGGGGAAGCTCTGATGAGGTCCTGACTATCTGTGTGTTCTTAAGGAGACTCCACCCAGACTTTTATTTACAATGGAGTCAATGGCAGTTATTCAGGGCCGTCTCTTGACGAGATTGTCAACGTTAACAGCACTGATGAGAAGTGGGTGGCTGCACAAGCCTCCAGGTATCACTCTCAGAGGCTGCCTGTTCCGACAGGGAATGCACACACTTATCTGAATATGGGACCACTGCACACCTAGCCAATCAGAGGGCCAGAGACTGTATCCCACTCAAGCATCTACAAAGACAAGCTGGGCCTGAGGGAACACACCTGAAATCCCAAAGGCTCTGGAGGCTGAGGCAGAATCTTGAGTTTGAGACCAGTTTGGGCAATACAGGCAACACAGTCACACCCTGCCTCACCAACAAGCAAACAGTAACACAAAATCAAAAAGACAAGGAGCGTCTGGAAATGTTCTGGGTTAAAGGAGGCTGAAGACTTGGAAACTACGTGCAATGTCTAAACCTAGGCTCAACCCTAAAATAGAAGGGAGTTGGTAACATTTTAATAAGAATAGTATAATAAGGTATTGAGTCAAAATGAATTCATTAGATTGACAACTGTCTTGGAACCATGTAAGAAAATGTTCATATACTTAGGAAACAGTAGTAAAGTGTTTGTGGGTCAGTTACTTACTATGATGCAAGTAACATACCCTTCAGTAGTTCTAAAAAAGAAATATAGACAATGCACGACCTAGGGTAGCATGTGTGGGAGAAGGGATAAATGAAAAGCAGGTGGGATGGGGTAAGAAGTTTGGAGTAAGTGCACTGGACAATGGACATATTGTGACGTTCTCTGTGCTGTTCTCACACTTATATTTTTCTACAGGTTTGGCACTGTCCCAAACAAAAATAAAAAAGTTACAAAGAAAGAAACCAATATCCGCTGAGTACCAAGAGTCATACCAATGGTTTCCTAGAAGGAAAGCAAAACAAGGCCCTAGGGGGTGAGGGGAGTAACTCACTCAGAAGAAGACTACTCCTCGGGCAGCTGCGACACTGGTCCTGCACGGGCCCCATGCAGTGGAAGCACCTCCTGTGACAGGGCTTGCACCTATGGGCGTCCTTGTCCCAGTACTCGATAGCGGCACATTCCTTGTGAGGCACGCAGGCCCCATGGATATTCATGCGCAGGCCCTCCTGGCAGGTTGTGCAGGTCCTGGGTCCCGAGCACGTGCGACAGGACTCGTGGCAGGCTGTAGGTATGGAGGGGAGCAGAGTGAGAGGGACCCCTCCTCCAGGAGACTTCCAGGCTTTGTGCAATAGAATAACATCTTGAGTTGGGCTCAGCCTTTGGGCTCTGGGTGCAGCATTCTCATTGCAAAATGAGAAAACAATAGCTGTTTTCCCTCCTTTGTGAAATGGCCAACTCAGAAAGATTAATAATGCTTCTGTAATTCCCCACGTGGCATCAAAGCAATGGCAGGCCCTTCTGCGGCAGCACCATCGCACACGAGCATGAGGCATTTCAGCATGTCTTTCCTTCACCTCATAACTGGTGCTCTATATTACATCTGCCCACTGACAGAAAAGACCTCTCACATTTATGAATGCATAGCACCCAGGAGAAGTCCTGTATATAAAGCAAGCACTCCATGAATATTTGTTAGACCACAAAATGGGAAGAACTCACCCAGCCCAAGGTGGTAGCAGTTACCACTCCGTTGGCCTAGAGCTTTCCCCAGATGTGTGCCCACACATTCTCATGTTGCTCCCTCCATTTTGTGATGGACATTTTCCAGGTCTTCTCTGGAGTTTCTGCCCCACTTTGCTCCATCTTTCTGTCCCTATCTTGACCATCTTCCTATTCCCTTGCTTGTCTAGTTTTTTTTTTTTTCCCTCCCTTAACTCATCTTCTTTACTGCTTGTCTGCCTCATAGTGTGAACTCCATGAGGGCAGGAATTGGGTACATCTTGTCCTCTAGGCCTGCAGGAACACATGACACATGGAGGCCCCCCAAGCATTCCCCAGCTCAACAGGAGGATTCCTGCTGTCACTGTCATCTCATTGTATCTGCACTGGGAAGCTGCAGCTGGAGCTATGGACTGGGAAAGGCCAGTAGGAGCAAGAGCTGCGTCCAGGTCCTTAACAGGTGCACTTGCTAGCTCTGCCCAGCAGGGTGTAGAAACCATCTGGGCCTTGGGAAGTCCTGCCCCAAGGACACTTCTTTCATTTGCTGGAGAATTCCTCTATTGATGGACAATTAGGCTTGTTTCTCCTCCATGATAACAAGAGGCAAAGGACTCATGCCCAGTTAAAACATAAGGATGTAGAAATATTGCTGGCTGTTTCTTGAACATGTAGGGAATTACATTCACACAGGGACTGCAAGTGACAAGGACGCTGTGAGAGGAGACAGAGGCATGTGGGAGCAGCCCTATGGCACAGTGCGCTCGTGTGATGACTTCAGAGTGCCTTACAACTTTAAGAAAATCTCCACTTTGATCAGCTCTTGAGGGCTCAACAGCTCTGCTGGCAATCATCACAGTGAGAATCCTTGCTGATACCTATCATTAGAAAGGGGGTCGGTGGACCTGTTACTAATGAACTACATGATCTAATATTATGACTAATTCTCTTAAAATTGATTAGAACACCTTCAGAATCAGCTTCCTTGAGTGGAAAGGTCAGGGCGGGACAACAGCTTTGGTACTGAACTTCTGTGTTGGAACTCAGAGCCTGTTTTGTCTTGGCAGAGACAGTCTCATTGAGCTCCCTGGCATAGTATGGTGGCCGGGCACCCTGGAAGTCTTTACCTTTGCATTCCTCGTCCTCTTCATCATAGTAAGTTCCCTTGGGACACTCGTCTACGCACAGCCCCTCATAGAAGATCATGGAGGTTTCAGCACAGAGCTCGCAGTCATCCGCCTTGGGGCCGCTGCACTGCAGACAGTCTTTGTGGCAGGGGATGCACTGATGCAAGTCAGGGTAGAACCCCCGGGGACATGATGTGAGACACTCGCCATGGAGCAGGAAGAAGTCAGGCAAGCACTCTGGGGAAAGGAAGAGGCAGCTCATAGGCCCAATGGGCTGGAGAAAAGAATTCATTCCCTTTGCAGGGGCTAGCCTGTTTCTCCCCGCTTTGGTTCATTTGACCCGCATAAGCAGTGGCCCCACCCTTCCCTGTAAGGCCACATTCTTGAGGTCTAAGAAGCCCTGCTCTGGGAGGAGGAGGCCCCCCAACAGCCTGTTAGGTGGCCCTGGGCTTGCGTGCTGCAATGATTGTGCCCCTGGGACGCAAAGGCTGCAGGTGTTACTCAGAAAATTTGGACAATATTTGACAGATATTTCAATCGGCACCAAGCACCTCAGAGTCTATTTAAAACAAAAAGCAGTTTAAGAATTATTAGATTAAATTTTCATTCATTAATTGAATAGATTAGTGTATTGTAGGTTTATTTTCTGCATCTTCTTTTACTTATTGTAGGGGGAATCCTGGGCATAGCCAAAGAATCATTGGATAGGACAGCACAAGGCAAGTGAGTCCATCTTATTTTGAAAAGGAAAGTGGAGAGGCTTTCTTGGGAGGCAATTCCAGAGAAAAAAGCCTTGCTTATAGCCCATGTGCTCTTCTCAGTTTCACGGTTGCCTGAACTTTTCTCTTCTTTTTTGTAACAATTGTATTTTTCCAGCTTCCTCCATCTTTTGCTGTTTATTATGGCTGTCACCTGTAGGGCTTGGCACCCACTCCCTGAGTGTCTGTGTGTTTGTGTAAGAAACTGTGTGTGCTGTGGCTTACGGAATGCACTGTAGAAAGTGTGCATCTCACCCTTGAGTTCTTCAGTGGAGGGCGTGGAGATGGACAGACTTCAGAAGGGCAGAGGAGGAGGATTCTCAGGGACCCTGCTTGGCCTCACCTTTGCACACCTTCTCGTGGATGCAGTCCTGACACTCCTCAGGGCAGGGCTGGCACACGCCCGCCACAGCCACGTGCCTCTCGGGGCAAGTTTTCCTGCACACTCCTCTGGCCAGGATGAAGCTGCCTTCACACGACTGACAGTTGGTGGCGTTTCCTTCACATGTTCTACACGGAGAGCTGCAGCGCTCACAGGAGCCATCTTTGGCATAGAAGCCACTGTGTTTGGAGCAGAGAGCAAGGGAGCAGCGGGTCAGGGCAGACTGGGCTCCCACCAAGTTTAGGTGAGCTGAGACAAGTGCAGACTGAATCCCCAGAGCTGCTGCAGTTGTCAAGCAAGTGAGGGGCAGAAAAGCTGAGGGCGGGGGTGGGGGTAGGGGGCTTGAAAGAACTGCATGCACTGGAACCATGGACCAATTAAGAGAAAGGACGTTTAGAAAAATACAACTGAGGGATGAGTGTACAACTTGTGATTTTTATTTAAAACAAAACAAGACAAAACAATGGTTGGGCTGGGGAGATAGCTTAGGGGTCTAAGTGCCTGCCTGGCAAGCCCAAGAACCAGAGTTGGATCCCCAGAACTGCTTGCCTTGCCAACCTGGAACCCCAGCAGCACTGCGCCAGCCTCTGAAACCAGGCTGGTGGCACATGCCTGTAATCCAGCACTTGAGAATCTGAGCTGTGTAGTGAGACCTTGTACCAAATAAACAAATAAAAGATTAAAAAAAAATAAAAGTCACATTTTAAATGAGGGCTAAAAAAGAAATTCTGCAAGAAGAAAGCAGCTGAGGTAGAAGGAAAGGAGTCAGATACTATGGAGAGGAAAGCTGAGTTCAGATTCTTTTGCATACAGCAGTAGCGTCTTAAGCTTTTTCTGACTGTAGTGGTGAACAAAGGCTATCTTAAAAAGTTTGTATAACAAATGGATTTGCCGACAGCAGGAGTTTGACAGATTTGAGAATTTGGAAGTTAAGGAAATGTAGTGTGCTCTCAAGTAGAGTACATTGTTCATGGGGCTACAAAGTGGATAGATTTATTGTTCCTGTGTGTAGTACTGAGAAGCTTAAGCGTCACAGGAAGAGATCTGGTCTTTCTTGCCAGCTGATCTCAAATCCTTGGAATTTCTCAAGCGATAGGAACACTTTTATTCATCATACTAAGCTCCTTGGCGCTGCCTGGTCCAAGGGGAAGAGACAACTCGAGGTGGGATAGCCATGCCCATGCTGAGCCTAGGTTGGAGACTGGCCACTAGAGAAAAGGCAACCCATCTTTAGAGGGTGAGGGTTGGGCGCCTGTGGTATGAGCACAATCTTCAGGGAACTTTGAATGTGAGGCCACACTGGGGCCTCTGACTACAGTTAATCTTTTTGGTCCAGGAAGGGTTTCTATTGGGGGGGGGGTGGTTAGTCACCAGTAGGTCAGGTGCGCTGTAGTTAAACTTAGCATGGGTGCATCTGTATTCGCCTTGAACGGACCTTTGTTGTTGGCATTATTCTTTAAACAGTGCAGCATGCCAATTATTCCCATTGTATTTGCATTGTATTAGGTATCATTAGCCCTGTGGAGATGCTGAGGGTTGTGTACAGGTTATATGCAAACACTCAGCCTTTTCACAGAAGGGACTTCAGCTGCAGGGAGTCCTAGAACCAATCCTCTGAGGTACCAAGGAATCTCTTTTGTTCCTGGACACTTAAAAAAGAGCAAATCCACATAGAAGCTGAAAACGCACAACATGGGGAACTCTTCAGGCTTCAATTAGGAGAGACCCAGGGAACTGGGGATGAAATCCTGAAATGAGAGGCACAGGTTCAAGCAAAAAGGAAAAGGGAACCAATTGAAGACTACTGTTGGCTCAAAAATGAGTACCAGAAGCTTCTGGGAGGCAGCCAGAGGCAATATGCGAACTTTTTAAAAATATAAGCTTCATCTTTTGGGATAGTTTTGAGCTCACAGCACAGTGGAGACTACTCACACACCCTCTACACGTGCAGGCTCCTCCGCAGTCAACAGCTCCCACCCGAGGGGTCCATTTGTTACCAATGGTCAACCCCATTGACACATTGGCACATAGGTTCACTAGTGCTCACCCTTGGGCTGCACATTCTACAGACTTGGATAGATGCATAATGGATGTACCACCATCATGATGCCTTGCAGACTAATTTCCCTGCATTAAGATCCTCTGTGCCGAGCCTAATGATCTCTTTCTCCCCAGTAACCAATTTTTAATGTCTCCATAGTTTTTCAGAATGCCAGGCTGTGGGTGGGCTCATGTAGTTTGTAGATAGCCTTCTCAGGTTGGTTTCTTTTACTTTGTAAAGTGCATTCACAATACCTCCTTGCTTTTTCAGGGCTTGATAGTCCATTTATTTTTAGTGTTGAAGAATATTCTGCTGTCTGGTGTTAAAAATAATTGAACGGGAGGCCATTAAGCTGAGACAGCAGCTCCCGCGCTTGAGTTCCCATGCAAGCAAATGGAAACCAGTGTAAAGAGTAAAAGGACCTCAAGCTCAGCCAATCAGAAACCACCAACTAATCTCTAACCTCTAAAGTAGCTTCCCACCTTAATCAGTTAAACATGTATTCTTGTCTCATTTTCATGATTGCTTTCTAAATGTTTCCTCTTATTCCCTAGGGGGACACTGAACCTCTTGCTGGCTGGTATTGTGAATCATGGAATGCTCAAATAAACTTATATTTTAATGCGCTTCAGTTTGTCTTTTTACACTACATAACACATTTAATTTATCCATTCACTCGCTGCTGCTATGGTTTGGACACTGCAATACTGTGTGTGAAAGGCGTGGCTCCCATGGGGGTAGTCGAAGTGGAGGGGCCTGGAGGGCCTTTGGGGCCCTGGACATGTGCTTTTGAAGTGGACCATAGAACTCCTCTTCATCTTTCTTTTTTTTTTTCCCATCAAAGTCTCCTCCTCATCTCTCTTTTTGCTTCCTGCCAGGCAGTTCATCAGCTTTTTTCTGATGCATGTGCCTGCTGTGATGTGTGGCCTTGTCAGAGGGCCCAAAGCATGGGCCGACTGATCCTGAGGTAGAACCACCAACATGGTGAGCCAAACAACCTTTCATCTTCATAAAGTGACGCACTCAAGTATGCTGTCATAGGGATGGCAAACTGGCTAACACGCCTTAGGTGTGAAGTTGCTATCATCATCTATCTACATGCAGTGTTTTGTGTGAAGAAAAGTCTTTAGGTGGTGTTTTCCAGAGAGCCACTTTGCTAAAATCAGCCTTGTCCATAGAGATCTGTGCTGGCATTTACAAATCTTTTTGCTATTTCATTATTATTTTTATTTAATAAGACACATAATTCATTTGAAAGGAAATTACCACACGTATTAAATTGTTTAAGTCAAAGCACCCAGGGCCTAGATAAGCATAGTGTGAAAGTTACGATTTTACCACTTTACCTGCATTTGACAGACCCCAAGACAGTGACTTCCAGTGCTTCAAACAAGACTATTTTTCTCCTACCTAAGTTTCAAATCTTCATATTGGTTGACTTCAAACACATTTTAGATTGGGTTTTGGTTTTTGTTTTATTTGCTTTTTACACAATAACAAGAACAGTGTGTGTTACACTCACACTTCCTTGCTTGGTGAATCTACCATATTTGCAAAAGTGGTGATCATGAAGGTCGACTGAGAAGCGGTTCTGAGGACTCAGATGCTCGTTCAAGACAGGGTTGCGGGGGCCTGCCCCTTAGGTCAGTTCTTTAAGTGGCTGCTTCAACAAAGCAGTCAGGCTCAGGTTGCTGTGGTTCGATCCCCACAACACAAGACAGCCAGTCATGCCTTCAAGCCATTCGGCGAAAAAAAAAAAAAAAAAAAAAAAGACAGGGTTGCTCCTATCACAGCTCATGGTGCTGTTCTAGGACGGGTCACACCCTAAAGGGCCACTTTCCAGAAATAACTACAAAGCCTCCCAAGACAAGCTGAAGAGTGTATGTTCCATGGATTATCTCCCCCTCATTTCTCTTATAAACACAAAGGTGGGGACCCTGCTGTAATCGGAACATTCTGTTCAAAACAAGAAGAATATATTTGTGTTCTACATTCTGCAGGATTCCCAGTTCATTCTGGTAGCCTACTGCTCAAAAAATACAAAATATAGCTGGGTGTGGTGGTGACACACGCCTGGAATCTCAGCACTTGGGAGGCTGGGTCAAGAGGACCATAAGTTTGAAGCTGGTCTGGATGATGTAGCAAGTTAAGTGCCACGCTAGGCTATATAGTGAGACCCTATCCCAAAAATAAACAGAATAAAATAAAAACAAAACATCTTAGCTGCTACATATCTGCATTGTTTCATTGATTCTTATAAATAGTTGAACCAAGACTTAAGAGGAAAGAATAAAGTGTTGAGTGGCTCATTAACTGGAGGAAAGCCAAAGACATTTCTTCCTTGTTTTAGTGCACTGTCAATTCTCATATTGAGGGCTGGGGAGCTAGCTCAGTGGCATAAATGCCTGCCCGGCAAGCACAAGGTCATGAGTTTGATCCCTAGTACAAAAGAAAAAAAAAAAAAAAGTTCTCATGTTGAAAAACTCAGGAAAGGGCTAGTCAGATAGCTCCTGCTTAGGCAGATGCAGGGACTGGGGTTTGATCCCTGGTGTGCCGTGCTGGTTCTGCCTTCAGGGTGTGCTGAGATGGCCATTGAGACTGGGCGTGGTGGCACACACCTGTAATCCCAGTGCTTGGGAGGCTGAAAAACAGGAGAATCACTATGAGTCCAATCTATATAGTGAGACCCTGTAGGCCCTGTATTAAATACATAAAAAAAAAAAAAAAGAAAACCCAGGAAAAAGCTGTGAAAAAATGGTGATGGTTAAATAAGACAAAAAATCTTTGAGACAGGATCTTGTTATGTACTTTAGGCTGGCCTTGAACTTACTTTGGGGCCCAGGTCGACCTCAAACTCATGGTGATCTTCCTGCCTCAGCCTCTGGAGTGCTGGGATTACTGGTGTGCACCACCACACCACACTTGGCAATGAGGAACAACACTCACAACTATGGCAATCCCTCTGGGGTCAAGACTGATGGGGACACAATGACTGGCTTTGGTAAGTAGATCTCTAATCGCCACTTTTGTTCTATTTCTTATACACTGTTGGGCACATTACCTTTTCCTTCATCTGTAAAGCAGGGGGAAATCGTAGGGTATGAATACGAGAATTCTTGTGAAGACTGAAGGGATTGTGCAGTTGAAGCACATAGCAGAAGGCATACGCGCTCAAAAACAAGCAAGCAAACAAAAATAGCTGTTTTGAAAATAATTTCTTTCCTCTCAGGATCTCTTGGCCCTCTGAGAATTAGCACCCCAGAAGCCTGACATGGGCCGAGGTGAATTTGCTGGGCTGTACTCCCTTTGTGTGCCTTTAATTCATTTCAGTTAGCTCTCAACATCAATATCAATTCTTGATAGAAATATAGGCTTTCCCCGGCATATCCACACATGTCCATGCTGTGTCATTATCAGTTCTTACTCCTAGGGGGGCACTAACTACACTGTCTGCAAGGTGACTTGAGTGTGCTTGGCTGTGTACACTATTTGGGATGTTACTTGTGGGTTAAGTACCACGGCTTGTTTTTACTCCTCTGAGTCTATCTGGATAATGCACATAGATAAGTAACTTATTAGAAAATACTTCATTGTTCAGTGCTACTGGGGATTGAGCCCAGTTCCTTCATACTGAACTTGATCACCCTTTGAGTCAGTCTTGCTAAATTGGTTAGAACTTGCAATCCTCCTGTTTCAGCTTTCCAGAGTGATGAGATTAATTCTATGTCTCTTTTTTTCCCATAGAATTTCTTTAATCAGAAGGCAACTGTAATATCTAATTTCTTAAAATACAGTCCATTGCTTCTCCAAATTATTTTTTTGTTCCCCCCTCCTGTTCTTCCTGTCAGTGTTCTGAGTTTGTTGTCAGTTCAGGGATGACTTGGGGTTCAGCTTAAACTGCGCCTTGTATAGTAGTCTGCCCTTGTATCTCCAGTTTTGCTTTCTGAGCTTTCAGATTGGCTTTCTGGTTGATTTTTTTCATCAGAGTCTGAAAATGTTGAATGTAAAATTGCAGAATTTTACATTCAGTTGGTGCATTGTAGTTGTGTGCCATCCCAAGGGCTGTGATGAGAGCTTGCTAGGGCTGTGAGTCTTGGGCGGTGTCCACGGCCTCCCAAGCTTGTGTTACCTGTAGGTAGCAGCCTGTGATGTGGAATAGTGTCTATGGCATTCACCTGCCTTCATCTCATCATGCAGGGTGTATCGTCTATGACCACAGGAAGTGAGAGCTGGGAGCAGCAGCGCATGCCTATGACCCTACCACCCTGGGAGGATGAGGCAGGAAGACTGAAAGTTGGAGCCTCGCCTGGAAAATTTAGCGATCTAGTGAGACCTTAAAGTTAAGCACAAAATAAAGGCTGGGCATGTAGCTCAGTGAGAAGGCTATGGGGTCAATCCTCAGCAACCCCTCACAAAAAGAGAAAGAAAAAGACAGAGAGTCAGAGACAGAGATGGGGCAGAGACAGGCAGGCAGAGACTGAGAGACATAACTTTCATTACACGACTATAATTGTTCTATTTTATTGTTAGCGTTGATCTCTCCTTTGGCTAACTTATAAGTTAGACTTTATCACAGGTGTGTATGTATGTGTGTATGTGTGAGAAGACACAGTGCCCTTGTAGAGAGGGTTTGGTAGCATACCCACAGGGGTCTTGGACTGTGCCTGCCAGGGATAAGGGCAGACAACCGTGCTTCTGTTCTTGCCCAAGACAGGCTGAAGGAGGTGCAAAGAACATGTTCTGAGAGCAGGAGGAAGTTTGAGGAAGCTTTCTTTCCTCTCAAAAGGGAGCTGAACTGAGACATAATCCTATGTCTGTCTCTGCTTGTGAGCGTGTGGGGTGGGGACATTTGGAAGGGAGGCAGCTGGCAGGACTCTGGAGAGGACAAGAGGAACAAGAGCGAGGCAGAAGACCTAGGCTTCCAGGGACTTGGCTGGCTATGGAAGTAGCCAAGGCTGGATTTTCTAACTTGTTATGTAAGATAAGACAATAAAGGCTGTACCGTCTGGGCCACTTTGCCTGGCTGTTGTGACTCACTGCTGGAAGTTTCCTGGTGTTCTTTCCATTCTACTCGCTTCTCTTTTAGGGAAATGCTGGAGGTAGGGCCATTGATGGGAAGACAAAGGGGATTATAAACCCAGGGGGTGAAGAAACCACGGAGTCAACAAATAACTAACCAGACATTCTTATTTGCCTGTTATTTGCAATTCTTAACTCATCTACTTTAGACTGTAGTTCCATTTCACAGATTTACTTTTGTGATGGTGGAAAAAAAAAGTGGGAATACCTAATCATTAATATGAGGTAGGAGGAGACCACCATACACCATATCACAATGTTGTTGTGGTCACAGTGGCCCTGGGGTGTGCCGGGATAACTCACAGCCTCCGTGAGATACCCAGGTTCATGGGAACTCACTTTGATGCTTACAGCATGAAACTGCCAGATGATGCATTTCTCAGAATTTAGCCCCACTGTTTTGCAATGCGTAAGGCAGGACCATATTTTCACAAAGGTAAAGACAGGTGCACAGAGTAGGTACAGAGAGAAAGGGGCACCGGGCCTTAGTAAGTGACAGCCACTGTTACCAAAGCAGATGTGAGTCACCCAAGGACCGTTACGTGGGTGCTCTGGCCAAGAGACGCAGCGCCTTGGGAATGGTTTACAAGGTATCCGGGAGAGGGAACTCAACCAGGAAGCAAAGGGAAGAGGAAACTTACTCAGGGCAGCTGTGGTAGCACCTGCCTTGGTGCAGGAAGAGAGGCTGGTCTGGCTGAGCGCGGCACTGCGTGCAAAGATCGGCCCCAGAGCAAGAGGCGCAGTCTTCTGCGCAGTTCTCGCAGCTGCCACTCTCGACTGAGGGCCACGTGCCTTGCGGACAGGAGGACACACAGGCCTGGGCCTGCAGATAAGCACCTAGAAATCCAGGAAGGGGCAGAGAACAGTCACCGTGTGTGCTCCTCACCCGTGTGCTCGTTGTGCTGAGCATGTGAGGGCTGCTTTCAGCTTTTGGCGGGAAGTTTCCAGCCCTGACATCAGCTAGCAGTGATGCTGTTCCCCATGGTGAGCTTAGAAGGAAAAGCAGGGCAGGAGGTTCCGGTCCTGCATCTGTCACTTCCTTCCAACAGCCATGGCAGGCGCCCTCTGCCCTCTTGGTCAACCTTGCGGACACCCCTGCCTAGGTCCTGCAGTGGTGAGACAGCCGCGGGGGGGCGGGCTGCTTCCTCCCTCCCGCCCTGTCTCACGAGGAAACTAGCCCCTAGCAGCTCCTATAACCACTAACCACCTCCCTTTGGAATGGACTGTGCAGCTTTACATTTAATTAAAAAACAAAACACATATTAGTGTTAAAGAAACTAAATTTCGGGGGCTGGGGCTATAACTCAGCAGCACAATGCCTGCCTGGCAAGTGCAAGGGCCTGGTATAGACTTTTATATTTTATATGATTAGAATCTTGGTCCATGTATTACTTAAATACTACATTTTTTTTTCTTTTTTGGCGCCCCTTATCTAGCTCAGGGTCTGGTGCTTGCCAGGCAGGTGCTGTGCCACTGAGCTACGTCCCCAGCTGCTGTGGACTATTTTAAACCTCAGTCCATGCATTGCTATTATTTCACATTACAGCTCGCCACACTATTCTTTCCTTAGCCATGGTTTACTTCCCAACAGCTTTAGATGCTCGAGGTCAAAATATTAAATGGAAAATTTCAGACAGAAAAATTCATAAATCACTTTTATGACAGGATACTGTTATTTTTCTATTACTTGTGAATCTCATACTGTACTTAATTTATAAACTAAACCTTATCATAGGAAACTATAGGAAAAATCATATCTGCAGGGTGAGGCCCTGTCAACAGTTTTCTCCACATTCTGAGGGTCTTGAAATCCATCCCAAGGATATGGGGGGGCCACTGTCCTAACAGTGCATGTTCCCATACAGCCTTCAAAGTAACCACTAACTGAGTAACATTATTCATGGGACTGCACTACACAAATAAAACAATCTCTCTTTTCAGGGGAATTACAGCATTTACATTGTCTTTGGCCAAAGACAGTGAGGATTTATTGAGCTTGTCACCTCCCCCTCCCAACCTTAAATTTGGTACCAGTAATGAAGCAGGAAAGACACACAGGCTTTTTGTCCACTCTCACAATCTGTACCTTAAAGTATCTTATTTTGGGCCGTGCATTTTAAAAGAGCAAGAGAATCTGTAGAAGTATCAAGAATCCATGCAGCGCACTAAATTCTCTGGCCAAGTCAACGTAACTTCATCATGCTTCTTAATTATGAAACTTTCTTTTTCCTTTGAAAGCTAGTGCTTATTACTGGCCCATGTGTGGGTCCCTGGTGACTCCACAGTAGCCACTGTGATGAGGGTGCTCTAGAATAAGGTCCCAAAGATGCCAACATGCACCAGCGGCAGGGAATCAGCCTGGCTACTGCCACCTCTTGTCACATGCCTCACTGACCTTTTGGACATGAAGTACACAGAGATGCAGACCCATCGCAGGTTTTACAAGAAGGATGACAAGGCTGATGTGTCCCCAAGACATCTATATGGGAAAGAAACAAGTTAGACTTCTCTTTTGAATGAGCTACAGCGTTAGTGTTGAAACGCCCCCACCCCCCGCCCAAAGTGGAATCTCTTTGCTTTTACCTTAGCTAACTGTTAGCACCTGCCCATTTCTATTATGTAGATTTTATTGATTTTTTTTTTTTTTAGCTTTTGGAAAATATTATAAGGCTAAAATGTAATACATTATTTTATTTGCTGAGGAACGATGTTCAAGCATGAGTTGCCACCCAATGGAAACACCAAGTACATTTAGTTTTTAAATTTTTATTAGTAGTAGTGTGGCTGTGCAGTGAATAACGATTACTTTCATCACGGGGAGCGTGTACATAACACATCTTATTCTTTTGGCTTCGTGCTCCTTCGTTGGCAACTGACTACCAACCCTTTCTTTGCAACCTTGCAGAGCGCAAGCACGTGGCATCTTGTAAGACAGGCTCGCATGCTCTGAGAACAGGTGAAGGAGCAACTACGGCTGCCTTGCTGGGCCGTGACGAGGCTGAGTGTGTGCGCATGCGCTCTTAAGCGAGCTGGTCACGGTCATCTTTGTCGCGAGTCTCAAAGCACAACTTCACTCCGCGGTGACCACTGAGAACACGCTGTGCCTCTCACAGAGAAACATATTTTCTTTCTTGTTCTTTGAAAACCAGATCTCAGTATTGGTCAATGTTCAGTCCTTGCGTTCTTAGAGCTGCCACTGCGGAACACAACCTAAATTCATCTCTCCCGGAATTGGTCCAGAGGATGCTGCGCGCGGAGCTCATCAGCCGGCCGGGAGCCTCCCGGGCACGCGCCATGTGCGCTCTTCTCGTTTCTTTCCAACCGCGTCCGCCTGTGGGCTTTTCCAGAAAGCCCCCTCTCCAGCTCAACGTGACCGTCTCAGGGACACAAAGAAGCTGCCCCACGGCCCTCCATCGGGGTGCCTTGAAATTAGCACTGGGGCCTTGCTTCTGAGAACTAGAAATAGAGGGCGCAGCACAAAGCAGGCGACCTGAAGGACCCTGACACGCAGGCAGCGGCCGGCCAGTGCCCACCGTTCCGGGAATCCTGGGATGGTTCTCAGCTACACCTGCCTTCAGATTCCAGCTGTGCCACTTGCGGGCCACGGCAACTGCGGCTGCGACCACCCCCCTCTCCGCGCCCCCCTTTCCGTCTCCAAAGTGAGGGAAGATGGCTCCTTCTGTCCGGGGGCACCGCGAAGGCTGAAGGAGACAGTGCATGCGAGGTGCTCCGCGGGGCTCAGCCAGGGGCTCCGTGGGCCCCTCTCTTCCTCTGCAGGCTCCCAGAGCCTTCTTTCACTGCCCTCTCCCTTTTGCTGCGCTCCTGCCTGACCACCAGGGGGCAGGCGCGGTTTCCATGATGGCACTTAGGGGTAAGAGGATACAGTACGTAGGTGTGGGTGCAGGTACGTCAATGCATGCACACACACCTAAAAATACACACATATACATACAGAATACACATATGAACATAATGTACACATACAAGCACAGGCGCTCATGAGCGCGCGCGCGCACACACACACACACACACACACACACACACATCTACCACATCCCCCGGGCTGCCATGCTGGTTTTTTCCTACCTTGGAGAGAGAATTCCGCCCTGGCAGTTAGTTTATGACAAAAGCTAAAGGTTAGCGTAGCTCACGCTCTATGGGGGGACCTGCTAAGAGCTCAGCTTCACGCACCCGCTTGGGCCATGCTGTTCATGGGAAGTGTTCCCTCAGCACCACCGATCCTGCCCCGAAGGCCCCTTTCACCCGACAGTGTCACTTAGCTCACGAGAGAAGGCAGCAGAAAGCGATCAGCCAAGGGGCTTGCTGAGGGGTGAGAGGCGTTGTTCAAAGAAAACACCCTGTCAATATTCACCAGGGCGAGCGCCTCGAAACCCCGTTACGTGTTTGGGGCACTGGCTGATTTTCCTTTTGACTTCATTTTTGCAGTAAAAGATCATATGTACAAACAAAGACATTGGTTTTAATCAATTTTCATTTTTAGTCAAAGTGTACACTTACACATATACCTGTATCTTAATTGCATATATTTTTTATTTTGGCTATCGTGTGTGCGGCTATAAAATCCACATAGAATACTGCAATGCTCCCCTAGGTCCACCAGAGGGAACTCTGCACAAACAGTTCACAACAATTTTCATCACCCAGCTACAGTTATAAAAGCTTAGTTAACCTGGAGTAAACTTTGACGTCAATCATAGTGTCTCTTCCTATCCATTCCAGAAATTCTACTCTGGACAATACTTAAAAAGGGAAAAGATCAATTCCCGGTTTCAAAAAAAAAAAAGGGAAAAGAAAGAAAGGAAAGGAATTTTCTTTGACGAAGAAAGTTTAATGTATCCTCTGGAAGTAGCTATCAGTAAACCGTGTAAGAGACTATAGTTAAATCCAGGGGTTCATTTCATTTCATTTATTTATTCTATTACCTATATAATAGTCACAAGGTTCAGTGTGGATGGAAGGTATATGCTGTAAATCTCCAAGTCCTTCTCCCTTCTTTTAAATACAAATTCTAGCCATAGTTCACTACCTTCTCTTCCATCCATCCATCCATCCACCCATCCACTCCTTCATTATTTCATATGCAGGGCTACTGATTGAAGCTATGGCTTGCCACTTGCCACACAAATGTTCTACCACTGAGTTACATCTCCAGCCCCATCCCATTGTAAAATTGTGCTGCAGAGTCTTGCTAAGCTTCCCAGTCAGGCCGCAGACTTGTGAACCTCCTGCCTCAGCCTCTGCAGGAGCTTTGATGCAGGCATGCCCCATTGTCTCTGGTGCCAAGAATCTTTTTGAGCACTTGTCCCAGCTATAACGCTGAGCAACCTCGCACGTCCTTGCACGTCGCAGAACTCACCACTGCTGGGTTTCCTTTGTTTCCTGCAGTGAATACCCACTGATGCTTGCTCGTGGCCTCTCCTCTCCCCACTGCTGTCCGAGGGCTTCAGCACCCCCACTGCCCAGCCCCAGTGTCCCAGATGGCTCTCTACACAGCTGTCCACCTCTTGGCGTGATGGTCGCCTCCCTGCTTCCCTGTTACCTCTTTTGATTTGAACTTTCCACCTTCGTCGCTTCTGCAGCAGGTTCTTCACCAAAGATGGGTTTGCAGTGGACACAGCTTTTTATTAAAGAAAATAAAATGTTTTTTTAATGTCAAAAAGATAAAATGATCAACTTTACCTATAACCCTACCACCCAGAATTGTCTGCTGTGTATACTTCAGTGCACAGATTTTCCATCTTTATGCAGAACATGTGAGTGTAATTACAAATACATGTGTCATTGTTTATACATTTATATACTAACTCTGCACTGTTTCCAACATTATATACCTTACAGGAATTTTCTTTTAAAATTCTTATCAAATATCATTTTCAATGGTTTGTATTAATCCCATTTTCTGTGGGATTTTTGGATTGGCCTCTCATTTTGGCTGTTTTAACTTCATATATAAAGCTGCAATCAACACTTTTGTGAGTAAATACTCTTGGTAAGTCGGGACTCTACTGGCTACCTGTCTTCCCAGATCGTCATTATTTGCTGCCTTCTTTCTTTTTATTTTTTGGTACAGAATCTCACTACATAGTTTAGACTCATAGTGATCCTCCTGTCTCAGCCTTCTCAGCGCTGGGATTACAGGTGTGCACCACCACACCCGATTTTGGTGGCTGGAACAGCATGCAGTACCAGGGATTGAACTCAGGACCTTGTGTTTGCCAGGTAGATGCTTAAACCACCAAGTTATCTCCTCAGTCCTTGCTGCCTTCTTTCTGGTACCATTTTTGTCAGACCCTATAGTATAGTTTAGAGCCCTCAACTGCTCCCTTCTATGAGACAAGGAATGCTACTTTGAAAGTGAACTGAGGTGTCAGGAGTTCAAATGGGTTAGGTCACGCAGGGAAGAGACTAGTGTTTAAAATATCATGTGTATTCTGGAAGATGCATGTGTATCCTCTCAGTTCTTTCTTTTTAAATTTTTTTTGTACCTGGGATTGAACTCAAGACCTTGCGCTTGCCAGGCAAGCTCTTATTCTATTGAGCTATCTCCCTGGTACCCAAAGTTGAGAAGGATTTTTTTTTTTTTCTTGGCTGGCTGGGGCTGCCAAAAGGGCAGGTTGGGTGAGGCATGGGGAGCTGGGGATCGAACCTCAGTCCCCTGCTCCTGACTGGGTTTCCTCCAGCAGGCCCTTAAACAACTGAGCTAACCAGCAAGCCCCTCTCAGTTTTCTCTTGCAGCAACTCTGTGTGCAGTCCTTTCCTTCTTTCATTTATGGACGAGGAAACTGAGGTTCAGAGAGGATGAGAACCTTGCCCCAAGTCACACTCCTAGGAAACAGCAGAGCCAGGACTTGAGTTCAGGTCTGCCTTGAGCAGGCCAGCCAAGTGCTCTACCTTTGAGCTGCGTGCCCAGGCCTAGGCCCGCCTAGCTATAACTAAGTACCCATCCCACCACAGAGATGATTTTCAGTAATTAACTTGGATTTTAAAGTAGTTTGAGAGAGGCCAAAGTAATGACGTGTTGGTAAAACAGCTTTCTAGAAAAAATTAAGCTCAACTTGTAGTGCTGCCAGTTTCTGCAGTGTAAAGAACTCCTGACTTAGCTGTTTTTAATCGCCAGGAGCTTGGCAAAAAATTTACAAAATTCCAGGATGTTTAACAATGCGTTTGAATCAGTACAAGTGGCTCCTTTCACCCCTCCTTATCTATGCATAGAAGGATACAGTGCTACTAACAGCAGATTTCCAGGACGTCTTTAAAGTTTTAAAGTGCAGCTATTGTGTGCTAGACTTTGCTTCATGGTTAAGGTGGCTTGTGCTCCCCACTCCCCCACCCCCCGGTGCCTGGCTTCAGTGTTTGTGGATGCCTGTGGGACTCTAGTCTTTCCTGGAGCCTAGGAACAGGGACCAGAGGATAGGCTAGGGGTACACTGTTAAGATGTGGCCAACACTCAAAAGTTAATTCACTGTGTCTGCGCTTTGTAGAGCCGGTTCTCACTGGAATATGTAATTGGAGCCTGCTACCCCAGCTTCAATCGCTGGTGCATTGGGTGCGTATGCAGTTTTTAGGAATCACCCCTAGGACTTTCCGGCTCTGCCCGGGGGAAGCCACCTAAGAAAATCCAACGCCTTCACAGTAACAAGGAAACCACTTCTGTCGCAGCAAGGGCTCCTGAGCACACGCTGAAGCCGCTCTATTCTCCCGGTGCCGGGGCCTGCTGCCCCTGGGCATTTCCCCCGATGCTGCCTGGCATGGGGCCCATGTCCCTGCTGGAGTAGCTCATGCTGTGTTTGGTGCTAGTTTTATTTCTGCCCTTGGACGAAGCGCTCTTCATCATACATTGGTGATTAGGGTAGGGACTCCGGCGACGGTCTGCATTTGCGCAGCGACTCCGGTGGTTGGCGGGGCGGAGGCCTACCTTCGCAGGTTGCCGAGCTGCTGTGTACTGGGGTCCCGGCCCTTGGATGAAGGTGGGAAGCCTCCCCTCGCTGTCACACCCTCCCCTTGCTGTCAGTTGTGGATGAAGGATGCCAACCCTCTCGCCACCGCCACTGTCTCTAATTCTCTTTAACCACAGTGTCAAAAAAGTAGTTTGGGGAAGTGCAGCTGGGCTTTTATTTCAGAAGTATATTCTCAACCCAGGCTGGGGAACACGGTGATCTTTGAATGCAGATATGATCCGACTGTTTCCACCAGGAAGCAACATGTTGGAGTTTGCTTTTTTCCTACCTGAATCTGAATCTATGTTTAAAACAAAAATCGAAACCAGCCAGATCCTCGCTGGTACCACCTAGCAGTTGCATTCTCAGAAAAATGCTCCAGAATTGGTCTGGGCTTCTTCTAAATTGGCCCAGAATGACTACAATCTGCTTTCCATCATCCGTGAGGTGTGGCTAATTAGTGCTTGCGCCCTGGACCCGCCGCTCTCCTATTACACTCCCGACCTTGTTTTTAAGAAGGAGGAAGCAGGAGGAGATGTAGGCATTGGCTCTGACAGACACTCCAGGCTTTCTGGATCGCATTTCCCCTTTCCTATCCATTTCAGGGCATGACATATGCCAAGGAAGCTGAGCTGCGGCGTCCCCTTGCTTGGTGCACAGACGGGGTTTTCTCTTTGCCGATGCACGGCCTCTCTTCTTTCACGATCACAGAAATGGAAAAGTGCAGCTGTGTCATCGACTTTATTGCTTTTGTCTAGCCATGAGAAACATTCTCATCTGCTTCTCGCGTCCCTTATTAACGTGAAAGCCCCACATGGAATAAGTCCTTCCTCTCTTCAGAAAACATTATACTGTGAGCGCAGGAAGGCAGCGTGGTGGGTGTGGCGCTTCGATAAAGGAGAACAATCAAAGTCGGGATTTTTCCTGCTAAATGCATAGTCCAGTTGAAGAGAGGCACAATCACGTGGGGATCGAGTCTGCCTCGACACTTGGCTCGCTGGATCTGTTCATCATCTGGGCGCCAGATAAAATACAGATGTTCCGAGGGAGAAACCCAGCGCCAGACCATTTCTCTCCTGGCTGGCTCTGCCTCTCAAATGTCTGAATGCCAGACGAACTCATTGTCAGCATTCTGGTTCAGCTGTAATTCATGGAAGATATCCCAACCTGGGCCGGATACTTTTCCTTCTAGCTCTGTCTCTGAAACAGGCCCTGAGCACTCCGTGGCCGCTGGCTTCAGGATGGTTGGGTGGCGCTTGTAGTCTATGTGCAAGACTTACAGCAGAGAGCAGGACCCGGGCTCCTCTGGTGACGCCCGAGATCCCTGCTCCCTGCCCTGCCCCACTGGGAGCCCTCTGTGGTCTTGGTCAGCTGCCACTGCACTGCACTGGATGACTCCAGAATGGATCCCTGCTCGGTACCAAATGGACAGCACCTTTCATCTTTGTGAGTGTCCCGGTGTGGAATGCACAACTGATTTTTTCCAGTAGTGGTAGGAATTTGTTGTGTGACCACTTGGGACTTGGAGAGGCCTTGGCAAGCCTGTGGCTGCCTGGTAAGGAAGCGTATAACCAAGTTGCAGCCGAGATGCCAGGCCAAGGCTCAGGAGGAGACCTGCGGGTCCACGGCAGCATCCTGTCTGCCTCCCCCCTCCTGCCCTGCTTCCCCTGTCTGCAGCGAGGCAGCAGTATCCGGAAGGGGGTGTGGGTGCTGAGAGGTCTCATCAGCCAGCAGGGCCATCCGCTTTAGTGGGGTGCCCTGTCTACTCATAGTCTCTCTCTCTCTCTCTCTCTCTCTCTCTCTCTCTCTCTCTCTCCCCCTCTCTCCTCCCCTCTCTCCCTCTCTCCCCCCTCTCTTTCTCTCTTTCCCCCTCTCTCCCTCTCTCCTTTTCTCCCTCTCTCCCTCTCTCTCCCCCCCTTTCCTTGTCCCTCTCTCTCTCCCCCATGCTGGGGGATCAAACCCAGGACCTAAATGCTGTACCACCAAAGCGACATCTCCATCCCATTGTCTTTTTTTAAATTTTATTTTAAAGAAAATGGCAAGTGACTCATTTCCCCTACATGACCCTCCTCATGCTTCTGGGCACCTAACCCAGGCAGAAACTCAGGTGGCCAGACCAATTATAAAGGCTCTTTGGCTGGATACGGTGGTGAAATTCTATAATCCCAGCACTCAAGAGGCTGAGGTAGGAGGATTATTGTGAGTTTGAGGCCAGTCTGAACTATGTAGTGAGACTGTCTCAAAGCAAAAACAAAAGCAAAGCAGAACAAATGAATCAATCAAGACAATGCCTTTTGGAGCTTGGTGGGTACCAAACATGTAATCCTAGCTACTCAAGAGGCAGAAGCAGGAGGATCCCAAGTTCAGGACCAGCATCGGCAACTTAGGAAATTCAAAATAAAAATAAAATGGGCTGGAGATGTAGCTCAGTGCAAGAGTGCTTCGCTAGCATGTGTGAGACCCCACTGTGTCCTGTTTTTGGTCTGTTTGAGACAGGGTCTCACTATGCAGTTCAGGCTGGCCTTGAGCTCACTTTGTAGTCCAGGCTGGTCTTGAACTCACAATGATCCCCTTGCCTCAGCCTCTCAAGTGCTGGGATTACAGGCATGCACCACCATGCCCTGTGATGAGACCCTGGGTTTAATCCCCAGCACCATAAAACAAAACAAACACTAAATAGCCCTTCAGATGACTCCCAAATGCCAGCCACACTTTTCTCCTGTCACCCACTATAGCTGTCCCCCCAATCCCTCCAGCTTTATTCCACTGCACAGCAGCTAGGCGGCAAGCAGACCGCGGGGGGTGGGGGGGCTCTGCATGGCACCTACCCTTTGGGTCCTGTGGCTCACAAGCCCCATGCAGCAACCGCAGCCCTGCCGGGCAGCTGCTGCACTGGTCCAGGTCTGGGCCCTCGCAGCTCTCGCAGGCTGGGTGACAAGGCTCACACGCTCCCGTGGCTGGGTCTCCGTAGAAGCCAGTGCCACAGGCACTCACACAGCGGCCACCTGGGCAAGAACGTGGGGACGGATGAAGGTGGGGCTCGGGCGGCCTGGCTGGGCTCTGAACCCAAGGCCTCCAGAGCGCTTCATTGCTCTTTTTTTTTAAAGAAATCAGGATGTCTTTAGCATAGTTTGGTCCAGGCCCAAGACTGCCAGCTTAAAGGATCGGGGGCTTAGCATCCTTGAAGCCTCGAAGCACTGAGAATCAAATGAGGCCCTGGAGAGACCCCAAGCTCACTGCCCCGCTCTCCACCATCCGGACCCCATGGTTCCTCACTGGGAGACTCACAGCCCAGCCCACCGCATTCAGATTCGGGGCTTGGTGGCAGCCTATGATCTCCTTCACCTCTACAGTGCCTGGGAATTTAGAACATGGATCAAAGCCCCAAGAGAAGGGTCATGACTCTGAATACTCAATTCCCAAACATTTCTCTTGAACTCCCACCTACTCAACTCCTCCCTTCTGCCAGCTTCAGACACTAAGGCTAGTTAAATGTGAACATGCTTCAGTAATAAATGCAGGTAGAAGTAGTCCTGGCTAATATTTATTTTCAAACCTAATTAACATTCCTCCCCGGACCAGCGGCTGTGGTGCAGAAAGCCCCTGAAGCCCTTCGCAGGAGCGCTCCAACGCCTGCCAGGCTGCAGGGCCCCAGGCCACAGTCCGCCCAGACCCCTTGCTGACCCTTCCCGCACGACTGCCTCCACTTACCCAGGAGAAAGAAGCTCTCTTCGCACCAGAAGCACTCGTTGCGGTTGCAGCTGCCACAGTTGGCGCTGCAGGCTCTGCACTCCCGCTGCTCAGCGAAGGTCTTCTGGGGACAGGCTTCATAGCAGTGGCGCTCAAACCTGGTGGCGGTGGTGCCCAGTGAGACCCACCCGCGCTGACCCGAGAGCATGGCTGTCTCTGCGTTCACGGCCAAGCGCACTTTGAGTAGCATCGGGACTTGGCTTTCAGCCGAGGAAACTTGCTCTGGGTGTGGGTGTCCTCTTATACCAAGTCCTTCACCACTGCCTGCAGGCCTCTGAAGACTCAGCAGAGGGAGGAGTGGGGGCGAGGACGGGGACTGAGATTTGTGCCAAGCGGCAGCTTATTAAAGTCTCTGCCCAAGCCTCATAGGGTAGACATTTCACTAATTTTTAGATATGGAGGCCAAAGCTCAAGGGTAGAATGTTCAAGATCCACTTATTTGGGGGCGGGGGGCAAGACTGAAAACAGTCGGTGTGAAGAGAGGGGTTGTGTGATTTGCTGACAGCCGCTGGTGCGTGAAAGGCTGAGAGGCCCAGCTCTGAGTCCAAGCAGCTTCTCATAGTACAAGCGACCAGTTTACTAACAACAGGAAAAGGCCTTAGCTTTTTTATATGTATCCTATATGCACCTATATGTATATGTGCATTTCTGAGGTTTCTACATTTATTACCCATTAGTCTCATCATACAGTCAGGTGTTGCCATTCAGATGCCACTGAGTTGCAGGTTCATGTGAAGAAAGAGAGGAGTGAAGTTGTTTCTTGTGCTTTGATAAATTTCAAAGCATCAGGGAACAGCCAGGGGAAGTGTCTGCATATCTTGCCGAGAGGCTGTCTCACAGCTCTCCTTAGCTGGATTCAAAAGACTAAATAGTCTGACAAGGGATAAATGTGCACTTCTGGAGACAGGAGAGCCGAGCTCTGCCTTAGAGGTGTCGGGCCTGCCATCAGGTGGATTTCTCTCCCCACAGGCTTTGTGACCCACGCCTTGTGCGCTGCTGGGGCTGCTCCCTGCTCCTGCACAGGTGTTCTCAAGAGGGAACTCGAGGAGGTGTGGGTGTGTGGGTGTTCAGGTGTCAAAACGCAGAAGCAGTCATGAGTAAACTAGACTAGAGGGTCAGAGAGTTATAAGAGGGGCAGCAGGGGAGCTCCTCACCCACTTCTGCACATTCATTGGTCATTACGTTTTTGGAGCTGGAAGCACCTGCCTCCCTCAGTTCTTTAAGGAACATTCTGTGTCCTCCACCTTCAAACACAGTCAACATCAATGTATATGAAATATTAAAGCATTTGAAAAAACTGAAATCGTGTGTGTGTGTGTGTGTGTGTGTGTGTGTGTGTGTGTGTGTGTGTTGGATATGGGCTTTCTTACTGAGCTACATCCCTAATTCCATTTTTGTTTTATTTTGAGTCATGGTCTTGCTAAGTTATTAAATAGCCAGGCTGGGTTCAAGCTTTCAGTGCTCCTGCCTCAGCCTTCCAGAGTGCTGGGGTTACAGGTATGTGCGCCACCCTGCATGGCTTCCTGCAATCTTGATAAAGGACGAAGGGGCAAAAAGTGGAGGTGGGAACTTATATATCACATAAAAGTCCCTGCACTGGCAAGGGATCAGACAGCTTGTACCCCATTCAGGCCCTGCCTTTTCCTTCATTTCTTTCCTTTTCTTACAGGACAGGCAACACTGTAAGCCAGAAGGGAGACAAGAGTAGGAAGGAAGGTGACAGTGAAACATACCGGCCTTGACTTGATAGGTTTCTACTAGAAAATACTGGAGCCCACGGCTAGGCATGCTTCATTTAACCTAGAGGTCTGCATCTCTCACTGCCCAGGAGGTGACTAAGAGCTAAGGTAGTACCCAGCTTCCCCCAGTGTAGGTCTCCATTTAAGGACCAAATGTCTGTTAATGCAGACATTTGGAAATAGCTCACTTGGGGATGGGTGTTTTATTAAGGTCCATCTGTAAACAGTGACACTGAACCTTGGAAACCTGTGGCAAGATTCCTAGACACCACTGTCAGGCTGGATGCCTTCCAGGACGAAGAAGAAAAAGAAGCCTCCTTCTGAGGCAAGAAAACAGCTGGGCTCTTGTTGCTAAACCCAAACATTGCTCATTAATAGCTCATGGAACACGGTTGCTTCAGGTTGCAGGGCCTCTCTGCTTTAAGATTTAAGATTTAAGATGAAGTCAGGGAAGCTTACTCTGCAGAAGCGTTAGGGTCACGAAGAAAGAAGGCCAGACTTACATGAGATACCCCATGGCACACGAGGCACAGGTACCTGGGTCATCTGGGAAAAAATTAGAAGAAGGAACAATTATAATTACCTAAAGTTTGTTATTTTTTAAAAAAAAAAAATTGAAAGAGTACAAATTAGAATTACAACAGAAAAAATTTCAAGTGATACAGATACTTAACAAAGTATATGAATTTCACAGTATTTGTTGCAATATATAGTGTTGTATTCCAACCAGTTATTCGTATTACCAGATATATGCATGCAAAATTGGAAGAAGGAAAGAAAGAGATGTATAAAAAAATAAGACAAGAAAAAGGAGAAATGATTAAGAAATAAAAGACGAGACAAATTAAAGCATTGACCTTCTTTCCATGAGAGTTTGTTATTTGGAACAAGTGAATTTTGGAAAAGTTGTGGCTTAAGACAAATGACCTTTCGAGACAGTTTTATGAAATATACTGTCCAGAAATGATATTAGAACAGATTGCACCATTTTTAATTAGTAACAAGAAGTACACTATAGTTTGTCTTTATCCAAGGTAATAAAACAAGAGTTCTCATAAATACTTGGCCCTAACTTTCAAGACAGAATAAGCCCAAGCTACTGAGTCTTCAAATTACAGATCACCTGCTGTGCACAGTAAGAGCTGTCTGATTTCCAGGAAGGGGATGTAGCTCGGTGGGACAGCCCTGGCTAGCATCTGAGTCCCAGCATTAAAAACAAAGAAAGAAACAATAACAACAAAGCCCCTCAGCACCCTGCTGAGTAGAGACACCACACACAGAACACAGAAGCATTGTCCCCCTTTTTTTGCTGGTGTTGGGTTTTGTGTGGGTCACACCCAGGGCCTTGGGCATGTTAGGCAAGTTCTCCAGTACTAAGCTGCATCCCCAGCCTTACACTTGCACATTGGAAAGGGGCTAAAAGCTTCGGGCCTTGACCTTCAGTTTTTCCATGAGGCCCGTTGAAATCTGGACAATTTTTTTTCCAATACGAGTAGTTACTTTGTGTCCTGCACTTCACAAACCTTTTCAAGAACTTGCTCTATTCTCAGTAAGTGTAACAAGTCACCAGAATTCCCGTGGCCCAGGTTTGTTCTATAGCTTTTATAGAGCTTAAACACAGGGACAGGAGTTTGAGAGTCACCACCTCTGTCACACACCCCCAACCCTGTCCAGAAAAACCACTCTGAGATCTGATTATTCAGAAACTTCTACTGCTTTCTCTGGCATATGATTCTTGATATCTCTGGTAGGTTCTTCCTCAACCATCTTTTTTTTTTTTGAGCCGGGGATTGAACTCAGGCCCTTGTACTTGCCAGGGAAGCACTTATCCACTGAGCCATCTCCCCGGCACCTCAACCATCTTGATAATTAATGAAAAATAACTGCTCTTCTTTTAATAACTCTCCTTGGTAGTAGTGATTTTATCACTTGTGACTTTATTTAAACTACCTAAAACAATGACCTTAGAACTTTGCTCGTACTCTTCTTCCTCATTTCCTCCGGCCTCCTTTCTGGTTTTCCACATTTTGGAACAAAGAGGCAGCATCACCCAAGTCTTTAGTCTGGCACTTGTCTTGGTAAGAGGACTCACGCAGCACACCGGAAGTCACAGTGGGAAGGCTCCTGAGAGGCTTAAGAGGCCCTTCCACTTAAGCAGAGGTCCTTAGGACCTGGAAATAGCTTGCTGATGGAGCAGTCGAGAGGGGCCTGCCCCAGAAACTGGTCCACTGGTCCTAGTTTGAAGTTTTAACCCAGACTTAAGTGCCTTACAAACTTACAGAAACATTACTCTCCTTTCTGGCTGCTGCTTTCCGCATGCAGACGATGAACTGGTTGGACAAGAAGCCAAAGATTCCAAAACTGCACCTAGCAGGAGTTAGGAGCCTATACCCCCACCCCAGGCCTAAATCCAGCATTGTCCATTCGCTGACATATCGTGCATGAAGTGCTTTTATGTTACAGCATTTGCATTAAGTGCTTGCAACAAATCCTTGATATCTACTACTGGCTATCAAAAGTAGCTGACCCTACCAGTAGCAATATCAGCCCATGACTTTGTCTTGCTCACCTTTTGAGGCGACACAGGGACAGAAATAGCTCAACAGATGGTCCCAGAATTCCTCTTAGCGACAAGAAGCATCTATATTTGGGAAAATAGCCTGTTAAATTTCTACTTGGGGATAGAAATTTATGTGGAAGCATTGAGCGAGAGCCAGGACAGCCAAGGGGATACACAGACCCTTCTGCTGGAGGCCTTGATTTGCTCAGGGGAGGCAAGTGGCTTTTAATGTCTGGGTCAACAGGGTTTATAAGGAGGCGACTAAAACAAGACAGTGAAAGGAACCAAAAACCAGGCTAGTTAAGTGGAACCAGGAATCTGAAGCTAGGGCTGAAAAGCTCCCCCACATCCTTAGAAATTCTGGGGAGGTTTTATGCTTCTGAGTTCTGTGCATTTGGGGTTCTGAATTTACACTGAGGGACCAGGGACCCCAGTGAACACCAGCACTTCGTTGGCTAGTTCATTTCCTACTGTGAGTCTATTTGTTGCATCTCTATTCTTTTTAGTTCTCTTAAGTAACTTGCTACCACTCAGCTGGTGTCTGGGCAGCTCACATTTCCCTGCCTGTCCCCACTGAATACACTGGACTCTGACAGTTTTGCTCATTTGGCAAGGGCTGGGGAAATTCTAATCCTGTTCTCCAGTGTTCTGGTTATCCCTCCCATCTAGGAATTTAATGAGCTCTCTCTCTCTCTCTGCTCCTTTGGACAGGTCACTGATGAAAACGTTAAACAGAACCAAGCCTCAGAAATGTGCACACCAAGGTGATCTTGGGTTCAGGGACTTTTCCAGCCCAGTTGCACAGTGAATTTGGACCTTAACAGCAGTTTGCACAAATGACTAATGTAGAGACCAGGAACTGTGCCTTGAAGCAGCTTATAAACACCCATGAGTTTCTTTCATTATTATCAATTGTAATAAAGAATGAGAATTATTTAAATTTTTCCCCACCCTAGAAGATCCAAAGGTCAAATGTTAAGTGGCTTTAGCTTGAAAGGAAGCCATTACAAGATTAAGGACAAAGATAAGAATCCCAAACCTAGAAGTGGACTCTGAGTCAGTTTGGCACTCAGAGAGCAAGGAGGGGTGATGTAGGGAGAAAGATGGATTTTCCTGGCTCCTGGGGGTGTGCAGGAAGTGGGGAGTGGAGGGGGAGATAAACAAGTTAGAATTGTTAACTGTCTTAGAAGGTGTTATCCAGAGTAGGATGGTTGCATAGATTTGGTTATTTGATCTTGTCAAGCTTTTGAGCTGAGAGAGTGTGTTTTGATCAGTCAGGATGCAGAGAGAGAGCCTCACGCTTTTTTTTTTTTTCTCTTGGTATGAGGAATTGAACTCATGACCTCACAGTTGCCAGGCAGGCGCTCTGCTGCTGAGCTACATCGCCAGCTCTCACATGTTTGGAAGAAAGCCCTCAGAAACAGTTGTTGGTTTCCAGCTGCTCACATCTCTGCTGAGGAGAATGTGTGGCCAGGGGACTTGTCAATGTGGGGACACAGCTTACTTTCTAGAAAAAACTCGTTTTTATCGTTTCATTTGTATGGAATAAGGTGGACAGGACTAGACTGTCCACTTTATCTGGAGAGTTTTAAGTGAACTTCTGGGTTATCTGTCCAGCCTGTCCTTGAGGAACTCATCATAAGCTCAGTCGCCCCCAGGAAATGTTGGCTCCTGCTCGCAGCTCCTCTGAGGGGGCAGGGCTGGCCCCGCCATTCTGTGTTTGCCTCAGTAGCACCTATTGCCTTCACCACTGAAAGCAGATGCACAGGACCACAGTAGATGTCTTACCTATAAAATGCATAAGGAAAAGATGCTTTAAATTTGGGATAGAATATGTAAAAACATCTAGAGAAGAATAATTTATTTTTATGGTCTACATAAACCTGAGGCCCTATAATTAGGATATATACAAGCTAAACTGTCCCTATTTTACTTTTTGTAATGGCATAGTTCTTCATTTAAAAAGACCATGCCTTAGGAATGGGCTTTTAGCATAGTGTCCATACTATACATGCCAGAAGAGGCTATTGATTTGATATAATAATATGTAAGCAGACTTGGCTTTGTGCAGAAACTATAGGAAAAAGTTGATTTCAGCTCCTCCTAAACTGCTTGTATTATTTCCTACAAGCTTATAGGATTTTCATCTTTATCCATTCCATGTGGTAGCGAAACCTCCCTCTGCCACTTCCTATTGAAACCTATCTGACTCCTGCCAAAGATGACAGACAAAGGGACCTATAAAATGTGCACTCCTTTCCCTGGCAAGAGCAAGGGTCTGAGTTCAATCCCCAGTTCCACCAAAAAAAAAAAAAAGTGTGTTCCTACACTGTATGAAAAAACAATGTGCTCCTGGTAGAGTGTTGGGCCTTTACCTCTTCTAAGTTGTTTTTGTTTTTGTTTTTGTTTTTTTCCAGGTCTCTTTGGCTTCATAAATTGTTTCTCCTCTGACTCAGGCCACACCTGAAGTGTTTCATTTTATGGTAATTAGGCAAAAACCTGTTTGCTTGTTTTTTCCCCCAAGGGATCTCATTCTTTTGACCTGGTCAAAGGATCTACATCCGGGGCTCTGTGAAACTTGGGGTTCATCTTCTTAAGACTCATCTTGGATGAATGTCTCCCACCTACACTTAGGAAACCTGTTAGGTAAAAGTCACGCTCCCTTCATGCTTGATGAACTTTAGTCCTAATCACAATGAAAGGTGCACTAATAACAGAAATCTTAAGTAGCAATCTTCAAACTTAGATATTCAAAAGTTACATTTCTTGTTCTATAGGTCTTGCTTTATCTTGGTTTTAACCATCCAGCAGCAAAGTATAAAAACGAGGTATAAAAAGTAAAGCCAGATTAATATGCTGAGCTGTGAAAGGCTCAAGTCAACAACTTCTGACATTGCCAGTCCTACAGATAACCCACTACTATTATGGACTACTGGACCATATTGGATTATTTGGCTGAATTCATGCACCTACAATATTTAAATGG